AGCCTGAAGCAGCGATCAGCCCACGGATGAATGGGAATTGATCCTGAGAGACATTCGTTAGGAGCAAAGCGTGGAGCAAATTTTAATAGCTACGGGAAGCAGACTCCAGCTCGGTTTGCTTTAGGATCTGAGCCTCCCCATTGAGTATCCGAGTTCAGCTGCTGCTGTTTTGCAGGAAGGCAGAAAACACCTCTCTTGCTCCAGAGTCTGCTGGAGATGGGGTGAGTCAGACGACGTGACCGGCGTCCGTTGGCTGAGGCGTGATTGTCAGAGTCGTGAGCTGGAGGAGCACTGCATGGATTAGCATTGGCTCTGGGCAGTCCTGATTCTCAGCATTACTGGCTGGAGGTTACATACCGTGCCTGCACAATAGGGATGTAAAATCCTGGTTAACCAGTTAAACACTGTGGTTAACCGGGCTGGAGCAACCCCCTGCCCGTGGCAGGCCGGGTCGGGCAGGGGTAGCTGCACTGCTCCAGCTGGGCCAGATCCACCTCATTGTGGGCAGGTGGGGGCTGCTGCCTCCCAGCCAGGCTGTTAGTTAACTAGTTAGCGATAAGCATCACCTGCCAAGGTTAACGGGTGACATCCCTACTGCACAGGCGGATGTGAGCTGTCTGTTTGGAAGGAGATGGGGTATTTGGGGAAGTAGAGGACCAAAGGATGAGAAGTTCTTTTACCAATAACGTCGGCACCAAAGGTCCCAGCCACACCCACGCTGCACACTCTGTGTATGGGGGGGGGAGCGTAGGGAGTGGAGGCTGCTGGGAAGTACCATAGTCTGAGGAGATTCCTTTAACTGTAAGCCAAAGATGAGCGCCCGTTTTCTGAGTAAAGTGACTTCCCTGACCCGCATGGGAAGGGGAAATTCACTGTGGGGGAGAGACGGCACAGACAGTCCTGGGCAATTCAGGGCCGTGCGCAGGACACGTACCCATGGATGAATCGTACCCTGTAAGGGGGGGGGGGGGACTATTTGGCTCACACTGGAGTGTGTCTGCCTGTGCCCACGAAGATCTCAATTTGTCCTAGCTGTGATGATCCAGTATTCACACGGTCGCCTCCCCCCACACACACAAAGAGGAAATTAAGCCATTGTCTGGGCCACCCGATCGGTGAGTTGAGCGCCCCTCCGTGTTCGTTCACCTGTTGGCCGACGAAACTTGTCCCACATGTTTGAAATCTTGAAAACATTCCATCCAGAACCCTGGGACCAAACGTAGGGGCAAAGACCACAGCACGTTCTGCCTGCTCTGCACACTCGGGAGGACTGACGCTTTTTGTATTGCACTTTTATCCAAGGCTGCAGGAATGAGAGATGAATATTTTTCTCCTGAAATTTTCCGAATTGTGGATTGAGAAATATATTTTGCAATAACGCTTTCACACGCTTCCACCCTGGCACCTGGTTGGACAGTGTTTGCTCTTTTAAATCCTCATCTGTGTGTATTGTGTGGTAGAGATTTGACGGTCACTTCTGTTGGGAAATTTGTTAGATGCCTTAAATTGATCTAGTGATGTATTTTTAACGTGTGGTGGGTTGTTCTTGTGGCTGTGTTCTGTGACATTTTGTAAATCTCAGGATAACCGTTGTTATTTATTGTTAATGCATATGTGGACATTCCTGTATTAAACCACTAATTGTGCACTGTGTTTGTACCCAAGGCCTGTTTAGTTTACACACACAGGCTACATCTAGACTGCAAGCCTCTTTCGAAAAAGAGCGTCTAGACTGCAAGCAGTGCTTTCGAAAAAGTAAAGCGCTTTTTTGAAAGAGAGCACCCAGACAGTCTGGATGCTCTCTTTCGAAAAAGCCCTGTTTGCATTCAAGAACGCCTTTTTTCGAAAGAGCACTTTCGAAAAAAGGTGTTCTTCCTCATGAAATGAGGAGTACCGCCGTCGAAAGAAAAGCCGCATTCTTTCGAAATTAAATCTCTAGACGCGGGTGAAGTTTTTTCGAAAAAAGGCTACTTTTTTCGAAAAACCCCTGCAGTCTAGACACAGCCACAGGGTGTTGCACGAAAGGGATGCTGTCATATTAAAAAATAAACAGCCAGTGTTGTTAGCCCCTTAGACAAAGGCAAAGCTTTCTACACTGCTCCTCCTGGTATCCTGATGCGTAGCTATCTCCATTCGACCAACGCTACTGAACAAGTTTCCTTTGCTAAAGGAACAGACTCCAGAGAGCACCAAGGAGAGTCCAGTAGGTAGGTTCAGTTCTGTGCTTCACCCCTCATTGCCTGTGAGACCTTGGGATGAGTTGGGTTGTTGCTCTGTGACTCAGTTCCCCACCGGAGTAGTGGCAGCAGGACTACCCTTCCCTACAGGGGAGGTGGGAGGAGGCATTCATGAAAACTGGGAGGTCTGCAGTGGCGAGGATCAGCTAAGGACAAGGAGAGTCCAGTAGGTAGGTTCAGTTCTGTGCTTCACCCCTCATTGCCTGTGAGACCTTGGGATGAGTTGGGTTGTTGCTCTGTGACTCAGTTCCCCACCGGAGTAGTGGCAGCAGGACTACCCTTCCCTACAGGGGAGGTGGGAGGAGGCATTCATGAAAACTGGGAGGTCTGCAGTGGCGAGGATCAGCTAAGGACCTTAGGGAGAGAGGGGAAAACTAAGGATGAAGCATAGTTTAAAGTGCTTTGTTCATTGGAGACCAGTTATTGTCTTTATAATCTTCCCTAGCAGGGGGCTGGAAATTATGCTCTCACCAATATTCATAGCCTAAATCCGACACTCCATCCACACTCTCACACTTGCTGAAACCAGACACTCTCTTCGCACCTCTGTCACCCTGTGGATGTTATATGAAAGTGGATAAGGAAAAGTTATTTACTTGCTCCCATAACATGAGAACTAGGGATCACCAAATGAAATGAATAGGGAGCTGGTTTAAAACGAACCAAAGGAAGTTTTTTCTTCACACGGCACACAGTCAACCTGTGGAACTCCTTGCCAGAGGATGTGGTGAAGGCCAGGAGTTTCACAGAGCTCAAAAAAGTGCTAGATAAATTCATGGAAGATAGATTGGTCCATCAATGGCTATTAGCCAGGATGAGTAGGAATGGTGTCCCTAGCCTCTGTCAGAAAGAGAGAATGGGTGACGGGATGGATCATTTGAGGATTCCCTGTTCTGTTCATTCCCCTTGGACACCTGGCATGGGCCACTGTCGGCAGACAGGACACTGGGCTAGATGGACCTTTGACCTGACCCGGTCTGGCTGCTCTAATGAATGGGACTTTTGATGGTCTTTATGAGTTGCCTAAACCAGTCACCTAGAGCCAGGCCGCCTGGGACAGGTGGGGAAGGGACGTGTCTCCCCCCCCCCGCTCTAGAACTTCACGGGCTCTTTACAGTGGAGTCTGACCCCTCCAAGCTCACGTTCCCTTTGCTCAGACTTGAGTCCCTGTGCCGCTCGGATGCTGCTTCCACGCCTCAGAGCTGCGAGCGAGGGAGCAGCAGGGGTGTTCTCTGCGCACCGCCCGTGGCGTTGCCTCGCCCGGGCCACGCCTCATGCTCCAAATGCCCGAAATGTGACCGCTGCAAGCCGACTCGACTTCCTCCTTGCAGCGGCAGCCCCCGCCGCACTCTCCAGCCCCCGCCGCGCTCTGCAGCCCCTCCGCTCCCCTTCGCTTGAAGCCAGCTAGCACTGATTTGCCTTTGAGTCTCCCAACGCGCAGCCCAGGCACGTTCAGGCGGGGATTCCCTGGAGTGGGTGAGAAGCAGGTTTGGATGCCAAGTGACAGGAGATTCAACCCCCCTGCC